GTGTGTGTGTGTGTGTGTGTGTGTGTGTGTGTGTGTGTGTGTGTGTGTGTGTGTGTGTGTGTGTGTTAGAGAAGAGAGAGAGACTTTGGTAATAAAACCATGGCTAGTTTGCTGGCAGTCATGTTTCACCGTTTCTACTTTTCTCACGTTGCTCTGTAAGGTCTCTGAGGATCAATTCTGTCCAGAAACCAGATTTGTTTTCTGGTCTCAGTGTTTTGTTTTCACGCCACTGTGCTCAAATTGTGTGTCACCACTTTGTGTGAACTGACTATCCACTTGAAAATTTGACTGCGTTTGAAACACTAAATCTGCTGCTTTGTTGGCACATGAATTCAGGGATATAAACCACCTGTGAAGTTCTGCTTCTGCTTGATTAGTATTCAGAGCGTAACTTCAATGCAAAAATAGTGGCTTAAATTTCCAGCACTAAAAAGATAAAAAAGATTCCTACATAAAGGGAGGCACAATATGTCTGTCCCAGGACTCACACTTGTGGTCTTGAAGTAACACAATCTGTTCTTGATGCACATTTCTCCAAAGTTAAGTTTGTAAGTATTTCTAATAACTTTCTGTGCTCAGCTTTTCCAGGAAAAAAAACAGCCTTTTTGGAGTAATACTGCATAAATTCAGTTTTTAAGAACTTGGATCGCCTGTAGTTTAAAACTTATCAAATGAGAAGAACTACTCAAAATGAAGATGAATAGGCTCACTTGTGCATTTACATAATTGACTTTTGATTTTCTAATGTTTCGTTATTAATATCTTTTTCATTGTTATCAAAAAATTGATCAATGGTGGGCCCTTTGTTTATTTCTGGGGATTAGCCTAATGTTGGCTAACACTAGGTTGCTAGCACAGACAAATTGCTAGCTAAATATTATCTGGAGTGTATAAGGTAAGCTCGTTCAGGAGGTAAACCTGGTGCTAGGTTGGCTACTCATTTTAAATTGCTTTGTAGCTGATGCCAGATTCATGCAGTGTAGCTAAGTTATAGTTAACCAGCTATCCTTTAGCTTTCTTGCTAACATTACTGTCATATTCTTCTTTGTGTGGTGGTGTATAGCGTTTTGATAAGGTACCGTCTCAAATCGATCATTCCCAGTCAGACCATTGGCAGAAATTATCTTTGAATATGACTATGATCGCTGCATTGTATGAACACTCATAAGGATAAATTCTTGCACAGTTACGATGACAATTTAGCAGTAAACACCACTTAGCAAGCTAGCTAGTCCAGCTATCTCCTGCTCAGACTGTGAGTCTGAGTTTCAGAAGAGCATTGTTGGGTGGTCCATCTCTTTTTTTACAAAGCCAGTGTGGCTACCATTTATTGCGAGAAGTGTCACACGTTTCAAATTCAATTTTTTCATTGTTATGGGTGTGGGCCTGCTGACTTTCACTTTCAGCTCTCACAATGCCAGGACATTACAGAAGACACTGCGTGGGGAGAATGATCCCTTTTATGTTCAAATACTAAGCACTACTGTTTGAGTGAAAACTACTGTTAACTAAATCAGTGAAGAATAAAGGGGATTCGGAGCATCGCATTTTACGGGGAATCACAAAAAAAACAAACACATTCCTACTGAGCAACTAACACAGGAATAATCAAAGGTGAGATCTGGTCTCAGTTTTATTTATATAACACCAATTTTGTTTGGTAAAAAAAAGGGTTTGAGATAGGTGCTGAGTGTTAGTGCAAGTTCACTAAGTAACTAGTAAATGTGATATAATGGCTTATAAATTATATCAGTTGATTGAGTTCAAGACAAAATTGAGTAGCACTTCAAATTAAGCTCGTATAGCTAACATTAACCTTCTACAGTACTAGAAAAGAGTGATTAACGGCAAGGGAAGTTAACTATAGCCACGCTGCATGCGTCTGGCATTTTAGCTTTGATATCATTCTGCTCTCACAGTAATACGATGGGCTTGTAGCTGCAGTAGATGATATACAGTTCATACAATAGTGCAACAGAACAGTGAAGGACAGGCTCGCTGCTGTTTTGACCGATGCCACAAGCAGAAGCTATAGCATGCTAAATACACTTCATGGTTTTCTAGATTTTACTCACTAAAAAACCTTTCTTTTTGGATTGTCTTACTTCTATTAGCCCCTCAGATCATAATAGTAAGACCGGGTGGTTGGTTGGTGTACTTTCCCGTAAATCAGCTGAGCCATATATAGTATTTGCAGGAGCGATGGTGTACTTGTGTATCTAAGATCCAACAATACTAGAAATTCACCAAATAAATGTGCATTAGGATACTCGTGATGACGTGTGGTTACTGGGACAGTCTTCAGATTCCTTTTTAAAATGTTCATTCTTATTTTAAAGTTGCTTTAAAAAAAGAAAAGGAAAAAAAACAAGCAATAATGAAATATTAGCCATGTTGCATCGAAATAAACCACAACAAATTCGAGGCAGTCATGTTCCCAGGTGTTGGATAACGCCGTTTTGTCAGATGCCGCATCTGTGTCTTTCATTTGGCAGAACTGGTCACCAAGAAATAAACCAACCCAGTTTAAAGACCTATAGAACCCAACAGAAGAGGTGCCAGATTACAGGTTTATTAACCAGCGATTGCAGTTCACTAAGGTAACCCCTATTAGGCCCCTGAGGTAAGTTTAGGCTCAAATAACAGCTGGACTCCAGCTACAAAAATCTCTGATATGGGTTCAGATGTGCTTCTTTACACTACAAATCTTCTCCCGTGAAAAACGGTGAGTTGGACATATCAGCGTTCCATCAAACATCACTAGTGAAAGACACGTACACGGTTTTGACGTTATTTAGTGTTCTGGGAATCAGAACAGCCAGGAAAATTCTGTAGCTGTGTTTTGTTTCTTAAATACGAATTAAGGAAAGCAAACAATAATTTCCACTGAATTTTAGGTGCGATTTCTACTGCAAAGCTCCAATAAATCCGGTATGGTAGCTAAAAACTGAAAGTTGTAACTGTATGCTGTAGCTCAGAGAACAATAAGGACACCGCCTAAAATTAGCAAACTGAATTTAGCTTTTCTACACTCCAATTAATCATTTAAATTTTAGTTTGAATTATTGCAACTTTAAACCTGCTGTATAGTTCAGTGCTGTGTTGTGAGCAACTCGAATGTCTAGTTACAAACACAGAAAACCTCAAACTGAAAAGAGAAATGAAGGTACGTGAAGGCGGAGCTTCCTGATCAACAGGTATTATTTAAATGAAAACACCACAAAGCCAGACCTGACCACCTACTGCAAATAAAAAGCTTTACAGACGACCACGTATAGGCCTAAACTGCATTTATTACCTTAGACTTAGGACGACACTGATATTGAATGTAATATCTCACAATATGTACACACATGAATTATTATCAATACACAGTTATAGCATGTTCAGGCACCTTCACAGTTAATTGACAGAGGAGACTTCCACACCAGGCTTCAACTCTACAATTCGTTGCTTTGTTTACTTTTACTGTTTCTGACCTAAAAATCAAGACTAATGAACTTATCTTGCATTAATTATTTTTAACATTAACTTTTAACTTCGTTAAATGGATAAAGTTTTGGTTTAGTATCCGTGATGACCAGCCAGATCATTTCTGTGTTGAACTGGAAAAACACAGATAGATACAACACATTTAAGATGATGTTTGGAGGCTGTAGGCTCCTCTCACTGTTTACTGGTTTGTGTGAATCTCTACAGCGAAGAAGGAGAGGGCAAAGTTGGAGTAATTACAGTTTGTTTGTTCTAATATCTCAGTTTAATGAGATGAAACGTCACCCACTGGTTTTGAAGCTTAGCTTTTTGGCCTCCGCCATGTTGGTTTTTTGGAGGCAGAAGTGACCGTATTTGAGGTGGATGTTATCAGCTAAGGCCAACAAACTTGGTTAGACCTCACTCACACAGGTCTAGAGACCTGTTGTCAACCGTCTGGCAACCACTACTTGCTGTTGCTTGGTGAAATCGGTCACACAGATGTACCTACTGCTACACCAAAAGGTTGGACGACCAAGAGTTTGGTGAGTGTTTGCAGACAAGTTGGCATTCACTGGTTTCTTTGTGTACACTGAGAGTAGCGGCACCAAAACCCAGTTGGTGCTGGTGTTAGTAAATCTGACTCTTAGACTGTAAAGGTGCATTTCACAGGCATGGATTTCTGCTAATGAGTGCTAGTAACTAGAATAATAAAACCTCAGTTTCACTCACCAAAACTGAAGCACAAACCTCTTGGATGTCTTCACTTCATAGTAAACTGTAATATTTTTTTGGATGATTCCCATAAAAATCCCTCTGAAGACTCCAACAGCACAAAGAGTCCTCAGATCCAGTTCAGTGACTCCAGTTAGCAGTGGTCACGAAAATTTTAAATCTTAGAAAAATCTTCTAAAGTATAAATTAAATCCATCTATTTGGAGCCGACCTCAGCCAGAGGACCAACTGCTGGTTTGGTTTTAGTAAAACGTCTCCGTAGGTAGGTTAAAAGAAGCCTGGTGTGGATCCAGCTACCATCTGTGAAATTAGCCAGGTGAACCAAACCCTTATGATTATTATTATCTATTTAGTGTATTGTTAGAGTTGCTGTTATCCTCTAATCCTTAAATTAAAGTCATTAAACTATATATTATATGAACACCGGCATCAGACGTCACCACATATAGATGTAAAAATGATGACAATATCCCTGCAGACGTTCATTCATTGTGCCTCTGAAGCAAGAAGCAACATTCAGAATGACTCCACGCTGTCATTCTTTATTTAGTGTTTCAGCGTCACTTCATCTCCACCGAACACAGCACACGGGATTTTTGAATGTCGGCTCTGTTTCCTTCTGTAGTGCTTCGTCTTTTCTTAAAACCAGCTCAGAGTGCGGTCCTGCTTTTGTAAAATGCCGTTTTGTAGTTTTTGTGGTGCTTTTTGGCTCATTTACAGATTCAGCATGGTTTCAGCT